GGACAAGAACTGAAAGGGTAAGGTTAAAGTGTGAGGGACAAGAACTGAAAGGGTAAGGTTAAAGTGTGAGGGACAAGAACTGAAAGGGTAAGGTTAAAGTGTGAGGGACAAGGAACTGAAAGGGTAAGGTTAAAGTGTGAGGGACAAGAACTGAAAGGGTAAGGTTAAAGTATGAGGGACAAGGACTGAAAGAGTAAAGGTTAAGAAGGTTTGTCGAGATTGACATTTCTGTTGCCTAATGTCTTCAATCGGTATTGGTTGGCTCTCATGCCCACCTCAACAAAATTCCTGCACATGTGATGTGTACTTCTTTTTAATATTCATTAACCCACAACTTTTCTTACTTCTGAAGAACAGTCAACTATTCACAAGTGCTCAAGTTCCTTGGTATTTTAAAACATACTTAAAGAGTAGTGTTTGTCATAAGGTGATTGATTGAGACAGAGTTGTTAGGATGATGTATATTTCATAGCTGTATTTATACGCGAGAAAAACTGGTGTTTTTTAAATCTGTCATCAGTACAAATGTACTGATGACAGATTCCTTGTAATAAATCTTATACTTAGTGAATGGTTGGTTCTGTTAGATACTCCTAAATGTTCACAGACTATAGTTTTTAAGTAGTGGATGGTTGGTTCTGTTAGATACTCCTAAATGTTCACAGACTCTAGTTTTTAAGTAGTGGATGGTTGGTTTATATATATTAATATAAACATTGTTTCATCTGTCCATTTACCATTTTTATTTATAACTAACTAAACTATTGATTATGTTATTGTATTATAATTTTAGTAATAATCATCTTTGTAACACAATTTTCAGATTTCACTGAAGATGGAATAAGTTATTCCGAAACGTTCAAACCTTGTAAATAAAATGTTTTGTTTTGTCAACCGTCTTCATCTTCATTATTAAACTTTGGTTTCCCCCATCATAAATTCATTGCTTGAAAACTAGTTTCATGATGACATTAAGATTTAAACTATTGGTTATTTCTACTGGCATACTTTTGGATCAAAGGCATCATCGAAGCAGTGATCTTTTACTAGTAGTAAAGCTAATAGAATTTTAGGGTGAATGTATAGACATTTTGATTACAAATCAAAAGAGGTAATTTTCTCCATACAAATTATTAGCTGAATCTCGCTTGGAAAACTGAATACAGTTTTGGTCTTGCCTAAAAAAGGATATTGAATTACTAGAAATTGAATGATTCTAGAGATGAAAGGGCAGTTTTATGAGGATAAAATGTTTTAATTTCCTTTCTTTTGAGAAAAGAAAGGTGAATAGTGATCTTATAAAGGCTTTACTGGAGTTTAAGAAGTGAATAAATAATTTCCTGAAATATAAAAGTGGATTTAAATTTTTACTTTTCTAAAAGGTGGGTGTGCAAGGACAGACTTGAAGTACCAGTTGGTCCTTGTTTTTTGTATGGTATGACTAAGGAATAAAGTTAACAAGAAGTTTTCCATCTGATATTTTTAATTTGGCATAGTGGAAATTATTAGTAAATTAACAGGAAAGTTGTTAATATAGTAACAGTTGCTTAACCTGCTCCTGAAAATCAATTTTAATTACCTCACTAAGTGTGTTGTTTCATACATCTTTACATTAGCTAAAAGATTAGACCACAGAGTCGTACCTTTAGGATTAGATGTAGTGACTCCTGTGTTTTAACTAATTTACCATTGAAGAGTTGGTAAGAATATCCACAAAAATTCACCTTCTGATGGTTCTGGTATTGTAAAACAAAATTCCTAAAAGAAGTTTCCATGTTGTGAGTCTGAAAGAATAATTTTGTTAGATGTGCTAGAATGATAGGCTTGACCCCGTGTTTTTATATGTATAATTAAATATATTTATATCTATCACATCCATAACTGTAAGAAATGTATTTTGTGATATACAGGGATATCTTATTCAGTTGCATCATATACATTTGTTACTTTCTGCAAACTTTCTAGTTTCTCATAATGATAAATGTTATGTACATAATTTACTAAATAAAGGGCCTGCCATATATATATCATACAGGTAGATGTTGAATTAGGTACAGTACCTAAAGTAAGACATTTAGTGTAACTGTTAATATATATATATATATATACACTGTTCTCACACCTTTCTCACTGTAACCATTTTGTGCTTGTTATAGTTTTTCTGCTATAACTTTTAAATTAGTAAGCATATCTTCAGGAAATTTTGCATATTATCACTAAACATTACAAGGCTTTTGTATGCAAAATATACCTTTTTTCTTTTATTAAGTTCTTCTAATGCCTTTTATGCATCAGAAAATTTTCAAATTTCACATGTGAAATCTTTATAACCTCCAGATAATTATCAAATTGTTTTAAAGAAAAACTTTATATTTTATCTGTTATTTTCAGATTATCGAATCGCTGTACAGGTTTGGTCAATTTGACCGACCTTGTAACCACCATAAAAAAATTAGGAAATAAATATAAATTATCCTTTTTTTTTTTTGTTCTAGAATGACTAAAAATTATAACACGAATGTTTAGTTAAATAGCTTAAATCTCATAAAATTGTGCATTGTATATATTTTATTATATTGACCTTCCAGCCGTGCCTGCCTAACATTACAGAAGTTGCAATGATGCGGAGCATGTACACTCGGGTTACCGTATCCAAGAATATAAAACCGGCCTTTACAAAGTGACCTGTCTTGGCTGTATTATAGAGGATTAGTATTTGTGAAATACAGTCACAGTTATAATACATACGTATCTACATTATTACTGTTTACAAACAAGTTCTTGAACTTATTTTCCTTAAACCATAAAACAGTAAATGAAAAAGTACAGCAAACAATTATGTCTTCTAGTTACGAACCTTCTACTCGCTTGCTATAGGTTGTTAAGCCTTATCAAATTTCGCACATGGAGGTTGTGAAACAAAATAATTTTATATATACACACACAGTTTGAAATAACCAAAAATCCTAAATTACTATATCAATACCACAGAATTTCACTAAAATTTATCAGGCTTAGTAATTTGTAAGTTATATTTGGGTCTAAAAATATGAAATTTCAAGCTCACCAACATCTTACCTTACTGCTTGGAATCTAACTTGAAAAGAATGAGTTTGCCACCCAAATACTTCAATGAGGCTGAGAAAGTTGCTAGGGGGGGACATTGTGAGCTTTTGATTGGTTATACACACATTATTGGGCAAAGTAGGTGTATGTAAGCATTTTCAAAAATTGAAGAGGTGGGCAGTAATTTGAGTATCTAAATCATAAGAAACTACAGACTTTGTATTTGGACATCATAAACATCTAATTTGAACCAATGCTGCATTCATCATACCATGTGACAGAAAATTAATATTTAGGTTGTTATTTGTTTCTATTTACTTTTAAATTAAGAAATTAACTTAAGTATAATACTAACATTAGAATTATAATCTACAATCTGATGCCAAAGTTATTGACATACGTTCATAAAATAGTAGTTCAATAAAATTTTGAATGCGAGTCAACAAACACGATGATATGGTCTTTGACACGTATCAATAGGGTTAATCTATTAGGATTAACAGTTTTATCTTAATATTATAACAAGAAAGCTCTAACAGGTTTTATTCAAGGCTTGGAACGTACAATATGTGAAAAACTAATTTGTTTGTGTCAACGACAAACAAAAAGGTTTCATTAACATTAGAAATGAGTGTTTTAAGGGCATTTTATCTACAAACCTTTTGCATATTTTTCACTAAGAACAACAGGATACAGGTAATACCCATTATCTAAGTTTAATCAATGTATTTTCATGTCCTCCTCAATTTCAACATTAACTTAAGTCACAAAATCTCACGTTTTTCATGGCGTTAATCTAAACAACAGCTGCTCTTCTTGTAACCAGTTTCCATTATGTATGTAGTTTAGATAATTCCCATGTGAGTAACATAAAAGAGACCGTCTTAAAGTTATAATTCAGCATACTTTCAATTCTGTTTAACATGCCTTTTTTATCTCATTTTTTTTCATAGCTCATAATGTAGAAAGTTCCAAGGACTTCCAGGAGGTTTTATGTGGGAATGACTCTGGCTTTCATGACCTTACCCCTCCCACACATGCTGAAGACCAAGAACATGGCCCATTCAGATATGTCTTAAATCAGAACAATCTTGATCGTTTCAATGGTGATTTTATCTCACTTGTTCTGTGATGCTTAACTGAAATTTCTCTAATGGAAAAAGAATGTTTTGGATAGAATTTAACTAGTTTTTTTCCTTGAATTTCACATTTGTTATTGCATTATATTATACAATTTTTGTAGCATATAGACAAGCACTCTTATTTTGTAATTTTAAATAGGTATATTACAACACAATGTAAACGCTTTAGCCAGAATATTCCATTTGAAGAAATTATAATATATTCCTTGTACATTCTGTGATATCAAATGTTTGTTATCACACATTATGATACCAAGTTATGAGTGCACTCAAAAACTCCAACATAATGTGTCTAAATGTCACTGTTACTAAGAGGTAGTATAAGTCCTTCAGATTTAACAACAAGTAACATAATTTATTAAAAAGTAAAGAAAAACTGGATTACATTCCAGAATGAATGTCTCTATAATTACACAACTGGGCTATACTGTACACTTAGGACCCAAATTACGTTTATTTAGTTTCTACTAAGCACCATCTTATGTTTTCACTAAATTTAATTACCAAAACTTGGTATACTTTCTGGGATTAAGATAGAGCTGAATTAATGTAAATGGATTATGTGAACATTGCACCAAGGAATGTAAATAAACTGTCATACTTAAAAACTAGAGTCTGTGAACATTTAGGAGTATCTAACAGAACCAACCATCCACTACTTAAAACTAGAGTCTGTGAACATTTAGGAGTATCTAACAGAACCAACCATCCACTACTTAAAACTAGAGTCTGTGAACATTTAGGAGTATCTAACAACAACCAACCACCACTACTTAAAAACTATAGTCTGTGAACGTTTAGGAGTATCTAACAGAACCAACCATCCACTACTTTAACCCAGCCACTCATCCGTTCGTTCACATTCTGAAACCACAGGTCACAATATTTCATTTAATGATTTCTCTGTCATCACCACATGATCTTCAGACCTTCACCTCTACTTTAAAGAAAGTCTACTCATAGCTAAAGACCGCCCGACCCTTAACGACTCACAAATCTTTTTAGATATAAAATTGTTCTAAATGTTCACACTTAACTCAGCTGTATGTTATTATAATTTTAGTAATAATCATCTTTGTTCAGATTTCGCTGAAGACGGAATAAGTTGTTCCGAAACGTTCGAACCTTGTAAATAAAACGTTTTATGTTTATCATCCCTCTTCATCTTCCTTGCCAAAAACAATGGCTCAGTCCTAGACAAAAAAAACTACTTCCGACCCCCAAACCTGGACTCCATCTCAGAAAGTGGTGCTTTGCATTTGGTGGGACATCAAAGGAATAATTCATTTCGAACTCCTCAATCCACAGCGAACTGTCAATGCAGATATCTATAGTCAGTAACTAGAACGTTTAAATCAAGTCCTTCATCAGAAACGCCCTTCACTCGTCAATTGGAAAGGTGTTCTTCTCCACGACAATGCACGTCCACATGTGGCACGTTTAACGCAACATAAGATTATGGAGTTGGGTTGGGAAGTTCTCCCCCACCACCATATCCTCCAGATATGGCACCATCAGATTACCATCTTTTTTGTTCGCTTCAACACCATCTTAATGGGAAAACGTATGCAAATGTGGAAGGTGTTAAAGAGGACATCGACATGTTTTCTGGTCCAAAGCCAAGTAATTTATTTAATCAGGGCATTAACAACCTGACTGTAATATGGAAAAGCATCATCGATAAAAATGGAGACTATCTCATTTGATAAGTGTTTTGTTTTGATGTACAAGTTGTTCGGGTTTTTTCATCTAAAAAAAGTGACATTAATTTCTTGACGACCTAATACTTATCAAGCCCTCTCTTAAACTCACTAATTTACTGCCTCCACAACATCCGAAGGCTTGATAACTTTACTCCAGAGGCCAACCATCCTGTTAGAAAAATGAAACTGTCTTAGATGAAGATGACTCTTACCTTGCCAATATTTAATGTTATATCTCCTAGTTCTACCATTATCTTTGTTAAATGTGAAAAAAAGATGATGCCTCAACACTATCGATTCCCTTAACAATCTTAAACACCTCAATCAGATCCCCTCTCACTTTTCTTTTTTTTTAAGAGGAAACAGTTTCAAAACCTTAATCTCTCCTCATATGAGAACCATCCCAGGCACCATCCTAATAACCATTCTCTGAACCATTTCCAACAATATAATGTCCTTCCTAAGGCAAGGAGCAAAAGACTGAACACAATACTACATATGTGGCCTAATCAGT